CTCGAAGAAACAAGCAGCTGACTTCACAATTTGTTTAGACACGACTTTGTGGGGAGAAAAAGAGCTCTGGTGGCATAGTAGGTAAGGCATTTGGCTGCTAACCAGAAGGTTGGCGGTTCAAACCCATTAGCTGCTCTGTGGAAGAAAGATGAGACAGTCTGCTTCTGTAATGATTTACAGCCTTGGGAACCCAATGGGGGTCGCTATGAGTTGGAATTGACTCAATGGCAGTAGGTTTGGTTTCGTTTTGTTTGTGGAAAAGAGAGATCCCTTCCAGCTCTGAGACCAGGCTACAGAAAACCTCCTCAGGTCTGTTTTCATCAGCACGTCTTTCTGGGAAGATCAAAGTGACATGCACCTGGGAAGATAGTTTGATGGGGGATGTGGTTGGTAACAAAGAAGTTATGGAAGTTAAGGCCATGGTTACAGCTACATGGAGCATGTTTGAAGGGGTCACAGGTAAGGAGAGCTGATTTTTCGGAACACCCATATGCAAACTATCACTCTTCTGTCAGTTTGTCATACTGTGGTGGCTTGCATGTAGCTATGGTGCTGGAAGCTGTACCACTGGTATTTCAAATACTAGCAGGGTCACTGAGGGTAAACAGGTTTCAGTGGTGCTTCTAGAAGAAAGTATATTAGGAAGAAAGTCCTGGTCATCTACTCCCAAAAGTTAGCCAGTAAAACCCAATAGGTCACAACAGAATATTGGCAAATATAGTGCTGGAAGCTGAGGCCCCTAGGTTGGAAGGCATTAAAATACACACTGGCTGCAACAATGAACTCAAGCATAGCAACTATTGTATAGATGGTATAGGAGCAGACAATGTCTTGTTCTGTTGTACATGGAATCGCCATGAGTTGGAGCCAACTTAACAGCAGTTAATACCACCAACCATGTGGGGAGTTCAATTAGATGTCACTCCATTGGGTCCATCGGGCCACTCACTATCCAACCTCCAGCAACCAGATTTGGTTCCTTCACAGGTCACTTTGGAGTCATCTTCCTTGGACGCTTGCTCAGGGAGCTAGACTCATTCTAGAAGAATTCTGCAGCACAGGCTGGATTTGGGGAGTGAATGAATGCTCTGGGAAGGGTGTCTGCCTCCATCACCCAAGCAAAGGGGAAGGGCTGCCATCAGGCAGTGGACCCGAATGTTGAAAATACTATTAAACTTGGGGTTTTAAGTGATGCTTTTGTTGTTATTGTTATGTGCCATCGAGTCGGACCCGACTCATAGAAACCGCTCCTTGGGTTTCCAAGGCAGTATCACTACGGAAGTAGATTACCCAACTTTCCTTCTGAGGAGTAGCTGGTAGGTTTGAACCACCAGTCTTCTGGTTGGCAGTCAAGTGCCTTAGGCATTACGCCACCAGAGCTCCCAAGTGATGCTATTAGGGGGAGTTTTTGCAATGAATAAATTGTTGGTCTTGCAAAATTCTACCATGAGATCTCTATCACCAAGCCGTATTTTCCAACTACAAAAACTTATGGATAACATTGTAAAGAATGTGAATTCCATAGCACTTAACGGTGCTCATGAGGAACCTGTATATAGACCAGGAGGCTGTCATTCAAACAGAACAAGGGGATACTGCGTGGTTTAAAATCAGGAAGGCTGTGCATCAGGGTTGTATCCCTTCACCATGCTTATTCAAATTGTATGCTAAGCAAATTATCCAAGAAGATGGATTATATTAAGAATGTGGCATTAGGATTGGAGGAAGATTCATTAACAACTTGCAATATGCAGACGACACAACTTTGCTTGCTGAAAGTGGAGATGACTTGAAGCACTTACTGATGAAGATTAAAGACTACAGTCTGCAGTATGGATTACACCTCAACATAAAGAAAATGAAAATTCTCACAACTAGACCAATAAGCACATCACAATAAATGGAGAAAAAATTGCAGTTGTCAAAGATTTCATATTACTTGGATCCACAAGCAACACCCATGGAAGCAGCAGCCAAGAAATCGGACATCACATTGCACTGGGCAAATTCACTGCAAAAGACCATTTTAAAGTGCCAAAGAGCAAATATATGTCTTTGAAGACTAATGTGCGCCTAACCCAAGCCAGGGTATTGCAATAGCCTCATACACACATGAAAGCTGGACAATGAATAAGGAAGACCAGAAGAACAAACAAATCTGTCCTGGAAGAAGGGTAGCCAGAATACTCCTTGGAAGCCAGAACGGCCAGACTTTGTTTCACCTATTTTGATCATGTTGTCAGAATGGACCATTCCCTGGAGAAGGAAGTCATGCTTGGTAATGCAGAGGATTAGCGAAAAAGGGGAAGGTCCTCAACAAGATGGATTGATATGGTGACTACAATGATGGGCTCAGGTATAGCAAGGATTGTGAGGATGGTGCACGATCAGGCAGTGTTTTGTTCTGTTGTGCATAGGGTTGCTATGAGTCAGAGCTGACTGGAAGGCACCTAGTAACAACAACAACTGTTAGAGGGAGGACCTTCTATTCCATCTGAAAGCCTAATTCACTGATTTGGGAGAAGCCAGGTAGAGTGGTGGTTAGGGGCCTGGGTGTAGGGGCCAGGCTGAATGGGCTTGAATCCCAGTTCTGCCACCTACTAACTGTGTAAGCATAAGCAGTTTCTGTAACTTGCCTGTGCCTCAGTTTTCCCATCTATAAAATGGAGTTGATAAAGAGTTCTTATTCAGAGAGTTATGGGGAACATAGGAGTTGAAATGAGTAAAATACTCAAAATTGTGCCTGGCTCATAATGAGGCCTTTATAAATGCTAACCATTCTAATTACTCTTGGCCCTCCCTGGGCCAGAAACATCAGGCAAAGATGATTCACAATTTTGTTGGAGAATAAACTGCTCCTAAAACCTCATTTTAGAAAAATCTTAATTTGACCTTGTTAAATATCCATAACCTTTGGTATATACTGCACCGAAATGAAAAATAACACAAAGACCCACCATCCTGGTTCCCTCTTACTCAAAGAAGGATCAAATGAGAAAAATGAGAAAATGGGTGCAACATATTCAAGACCAAGGAGTGTGAAGGAAGTTCAGATCCTAGCACTGACAGTCAGTGGCAGCGTGCCCTCAGCGGGGTGATTTATTTTTCTGAATCTCAGTTTTCTCATCTAGAAAATGGGGTGGCCTCGTGGTGATTTTCCCCTCTGCTGAGTTGGGATCCTAAGAAGCATTCTGGGGAAAGGGAACAGTTCAGGGGCCTGAAAGCATGAGGGCACTGGGGGGGCAGCAGCACGAATGCAGGATGCCTGGGGAAGGGGACCCCTAGAAGAGAGGGCCAGTGGTCAGCACTCGCCCCCCCCCCCAGGACTCCCTGCTGATTAATACAGCACAGTAGGATTTTGGTGATAGTCTATCTTTTCTCCTTTAGAATGAGGAGTTCTCTGTTTAGGGTGGAGAAGAAGAGAGGATGTGGACCCCAGAGAAGGGATACCCTGAGAAGCCAAGCCTCTTATTAGGCACTTTAACCTCATGGACTTGGGGAATGAAAATACTATTAAACTCAGGGTTCTAAAGGTTCTTTTCCAGGATGACATCAGGAATCAAAGGCTTGAAGCTGAGGTTTGGGGCAGGATGGAGGGATCACCCCAAAATGAGGCCATGTGTTGTATGTGTGTGTGTGTGCGTGTGTGTGCGTACACACACAGACACACACTCACACACATTGTCCCCAATCTCTGGCATTTCAGCTTAGACCTTCTGAAACAACAGTCACCACAGAGTGCCTCTAATGGAGGAATTCCAGGCAGAGGGCACAATAGTGGAGCAGGCTCATAGACAGACCCTCATGCCCAGTGAATCTGTCATGCAGATCTGTCACGCCCGTACCTTTCCCAGGAAGAACTTGCCCTGTTTGAAAAGCAGTTTCTGCAGTGTCTCAGGTGCTTGAGGTGTTTATAGACATTTTAGAGCATGAAAAACCCTTAAAGACATATACACACACATCCACTTAACCAGCTTTTGAGGCCAGTGGCCCCCCACACACCATTAAGATGTCTGTTGGGACCGTCAAGAAAATACAGGGTTTGGCAATAGACAGGCATATAGAGGTGAACATTTGCATCAGATAGATACACTCCTTGGAGTGATCAATCATGGGAGAACAGAAGGGCAGTGTTTGCACAGGGAGACAGCTGGGGTGGGGTGGGAGTGAACAGGATAGAAGGACAGGGAGAAGAGGCAATTATGGGGAGGAAGTGGGAAGAGAGCTGTTACATTGTGTGGAGTTGTAGTCAATGTCAAACAAAATGTATATGAAGAAAATACAGAGTCTGGTTTTGTTTTATGGAAATGATTTTTTTTTTAATTTTTATTGTGATTTGGGTGAAAAATTTACAGAGAAATTTCATTTTCCATACAGCAGTTCATACACATTTTGTCTCTTGACATTGACTGCAATTTCCCACAGTGTAACGGCTCTCTTCCCACTTCCTCCCTGTAGTTACCTCTTCCCTGTGTCCTTCCCTCCCCTGCACTCCTGCCCCTGCCCCCCCACCAGGTCTCTCCTTGTGTAAGCACTCCCTTTCTATTCTTCCGTGATTGATCGCTGCAAGGAGTCTATATACCTGATGTAAATGTTCACCCCATATGCCTGTCTATTGTTTGGCTGAAAGCCACAGAAGTGAGTTCAGTTCCAAACCTGAAGGGTGGCTAGGACCCATAGTCTCAGGGCTCTCACCAGGCTCTACCAGACCAGCGAACCTGGTTTTCACTTTATGATTTTGAATTTTGTTCCACATTGTTCTCCCACTCTACCCAGTATGGAAATGATTATTTTTAAGGCACAGAGACAAATCCATTTCAAAAGATAATGCTACCCTGTTGAATGTATTTGCCCATGGAAATTGTGTGCTCAAAAGTAAGAAATCATCTTTTTAAAATAACCAAATAAATAAATAAATAATTGGAATAAATAGGAATCACTTCAAAGGGGATCAGATGGGGGATCAGATGCAGATGCCCACAGCCAGTCCTTCCTCTTACTGCCTCTTCATCACTGTGGGGAGAACAGAGAGAGGGATTATGTCTTTAGGATAGAAGATGGAGGCAGAATTCGAGCGTCCCTTTACTATGTCCCACCTCTGCCACCACCACCCTGAGTTCTCAGCTGATCTTGATGTTTGAAGCCTCAGAACAGTGGATCTCTCTGGGTGGGCCTGTTTGCTCATTCATAAACTGGGTGTAGTAGCAGTCCTGGGGAAACCAGGAGCAAGGATGCCTGGCACCCCTCCTGCTCCAGGTAGGGGCTGCCAAACAATTATTGGAGTCCACTGTAAGGTGATTCTGCTCCTTTTGGTAGGAGAGGTGGGGAGAGGTCAGTGGAGCTCATGGGGCATGGTGATGAGCAGTTCCCACAGTAATATCTCCAGAAAGGTACTCCTAGGCCCTGAGGTGCCAGCAAGAGGAAGTGATGTGTCCAGGTCCCCTTTTCACGAAGAGTGTGGCCAAAAAAAACAAACCCAGAAGTAACTAAAATGCTGGACCACATAGGAACGGGGCAGGCATGTAATGCCAGGGTGGAACTCACCATTACAGCCCAGGCCACTGTGTGAGTTGATGCGGTTGATCTTCCGCCCAAAGCAGCTAGAATAGGGTCTCCTCCTGGGGCGTGGTGTCGGCGGCCTGACCTGGATTGCAGGAAGCTGGAGGACACCCTCAGGGGCCTCCAAGGTTTCCACAGGTCCTTGGTCCTGCTGGGGGATCTCCAGTTCCACTGGCTCTGTGAGCATCTTGGACACCTTGTCCTGTGAGGGGTGAAGAACCTGAGTGTGGGGAATGCTCTTTGCAGCCGCACGCCCTTGGGGCAGCCCAATAGAACCGGCTGCCTTGAGTAGGGGGTCTTGACACCCAGTCTCCTGACTTGCTGATACCCTTATCGCTAATTCCTGTGGGAAGGTGGGGACTCCTTGGGACGGGAGTTGTGGACCTGTTGTTCTTCGCTGCTGAGCGGGCTCTCCCTGCTGGCCGCATCTTCACAGTCTCCCAGAGCTCACCTGTGTAGGCAGTTCCGAGACCAGATCAGAGGCACCCAAAGGGTGGGATCGACCTCCCGGAGGCGACAGGTGCAGGAACAGGAGAAGCAGGAGCGTCCTGGTCAGAGCTGTCTGAGGATCCATGTCGTGGAGGGAGGAAATGTGTTGCTGCTGCTGCTGCTGCTCTGGGCCTGCCTTCCAATCCCGCCTCCTCGAGGTCCACGGGCTAGCTTCTAGCTTCTCCGGCAACCACAGCCTTTTATCCCCTGGTTGGGATCTGGGCAGGTCCTGCCCTCCGAGGTTATCTCTGCTTTATCAGCTACTTTATCAGCCACATTTCGACACGCTGAACTGAAGCCCCGGGCAAGTACCCCTTCGCCTCTGCTACGAATACCTCCTGGGGGTGGAGGCTGGGGAGAGGAGGCCTAGTATAGCAATGGGCCTGGCCAGAGTGGGAGCACGCGGAGAACACCAACAGGTCTCTTGTCTCCCGCTTCTTCTTTCCTTCAAAAATCCGGGGGCCTTGGCATGGCACGGTCCCCTCTGCTCTCCACCCCCAAGCATTCCTGGAGAGGGTACGGAGTATTCCAGCGTCCCGAAGTTCGAAGCGAGCGCAAGGCGCACGGTGACTCAGCGAGAACAGCGCCAGACAACTCCCACCACATCTCCTCCTTGCCTGTAACTCAGCACCCCGCCCGAGTTCCTGACGCCCAGCCGGGCTACCCGACTCCCCAAGAGGTGACCGCTGTCCGTGGTGCTAGGTTTAAGAAGACTGGTTCTCATCAATGGGGTTTCCCCGAGAAGAAAGACCTGCGTGGGGCAGGGACAAGAGCTCTCTAAGACCCCCACCCACTCTTCCGCTCCTGCCCCCCCCCATGAGCCTTACAGCACTGGGAAGCTGTCCCCCAATGTCACCTGATTAAATGCCTGGATATGACAAGGAACTTCTGGAATGCTGACCTTTCTTCCATCCCTTAAAGGGTAGAGCTGATTCGGTTGGAATTTTGAGAGGCAAGGCCCCCGAGATGAAGTCATCCAGGAATGCCTTCTATCGCAGGTCCTCCAGTTGCCAACACCTCCTCTCCCCCACCAAGTCAGACACATAATGGAAAAAGAAGTGATAGCTAGAAGGATGGTTATCTATTTAGTGGGACAAGAGTATGCCCCTCATTTCCTCCTCCATATGATCACTCATGACTTAATTCCCATTAGCAGATGGAAGTACAGGTGGAGCTCCTACCTGTGATCAGAAATAGGGCTCAGAAAAAAAAAAAAAAAAAGAGTGGCTCTGAGAAGAGACACAGCTGCTTAAACCTCTCTAATTTGTGCATGACTGATGTCAGCACTCTTCCAGAGAAGTTGTGTTAACAAGAAGCAGGGTGGGTGTATAGGGCTGTACAGGAAAGGAAATGAATTATGACAGAGATGAGATAAAGGGCAGCAAGAAGAAGCTTGGACTCCTAAGCAACTCTTGTCTAAATAACAGCAGTTGCCAGTATTAACTGAAGAAAGATGCTACTACTCTCATTTTTCAGATGAAGAAACTGAACTCAGAGAAATTAACCACCCTTCTTAAGGTCACATAACTGACAAGTGGCAAAGCCTGGATTACAACCTAGGAACTCTGATTCCAGACCTGAAGCTCTTAATCATTGCCAGGGCAACTGCAAAGGGTTTCTACTAAAAGAAAAATTAGATTAACTCATTGTCACCTGTGAAGGTGCAGGGAGCTGTGCTGTGGAGGGTGTGTATGAGTCTGGTAGCTGTAGCTGCAGGGTAAGGATGTTAAGTGCAGCTAAGATGAGCATTTGCAGATGAAGATGAGAGAGGGGTAAGAGCTTTGTAAAGAGGTTCTGGGGGCTGAGGCAGTCTCTCTCTATATGTGTGCACATGCATACCACAGGAGGGATATCCAAAGATTTGGTGGAAATAAAGGTAAGCAATAGAATCCAATCAGGTGAAGAGCTGAGTGGAGCACTGGAAACTGCTAAGAGTGTAGAGTTCCTCTTACTGGGCATAATGAAGGGAAGGGTTGGGAGCAAGACAGAGTCAATCAACCAGCACTGTTCAAGCACTGACTCTGTTATCTATCCTGAACTTCACTATTCTCTTTTGCAAAATGGGCATAGTGGAGCTCTCCATCTTTGCAAGGATTAAGAGTGAGAAAATGATGTCTGTAAAATCCCTTGGCAGTGTAAAAAGTACCAAACAATTAGGAATGTGTGTGAGAGTTGGTCCCTGCCCCCAAGGCTCTTGTGATCTCCCTGAGAAAACAGAGCAATTCTAGGGGAAACAATTAAGTGCTAAACACTCAGACAGAGCCTCTACTTGCCCCATCAAGAAGGGATGGCTACATCTCATTGGAGGAGATTGTGGGAAAAGATTTTAGGGAAGACATGGAACTTAATACTTAGTGCCTACACTCAATATTGTTATACACTTTCCACTTCTATTAATTAGGGCTAATCATACCACCTATGTCATAGCACTACTGTACAAGGATTACATTAGATGGTATACGTGGCAGGCTGAACAACAGCCTCCTGAAATTGTCCATTATCCTAACCTCTGGAACTTATGCCTATGTTACTTTACATAATAAAAGGGACTTTGCAAATGTGGCTAAGGATCTTGAGATGGTGTATTATCCTGGATTATCTGGGTGGACTTCATGGAATCAGGAGGGTCCCTATAAGAGGCAGACAAAAAGAGCAGAATCATTAAGAGAAAATAGAAGAATAGAAGCAGAGGTCAGAGAGAAGAGAAGATGCTGTGCTGTTGGCTTCCAAGATGGAGAAAGAGGCCATGAGCTAAGGAATGCAATGGCCTCTAGGATCTGGAAAAGACAAGTGTGATAGTCTAGGTTGTGTATCAACTTGGCTGGGCCACAATTCAGAGTAGTTTAAGCATCTGTGATGTGGCTATTCCCATGATGAGATCTGATGTATATGCTTTGAGCAGACAATCCATTGAAAGGGAGTTTCCCTAACTGTGTTGCCTGCTTCCAATACATTTATGGACATCCTGGGAAAATCAGGGAAACTTCTGTGCATCTGGATCCTGTTGTGCTGCCTACAACTGTCCATGAGTGAACACAATTTGGCCTGGTGATCTTGGATTTGCCAAAGTCAACAGTCAGTATACTGCTTGCCAGCCTTGAGCTTGTCAACCCCTGCAACTGTGTGAGTCAGGAAAAGCCTTCAGTTTGATGTTTGATGAGAACTTTGCACTTGCCAGCTAACAGTGAGCTATTTTCCTAAGATAAATTTTTCTCTCTATATATAAAAGCTTTTCTGGTTTTGCTTCTCTGGAAAACCCACCCTAACACAGCAAGTAACTGGATTCTTCCCTGTTGTTAGGTGTCATCTTGTCAGTTTTGACTCACAGCAACTCTCTGTACAACAGAACAAAACGCTGCCCAGTCCGGCCCCATTCCCAAAATCACTGCCATATTTGAACCCATTCTTGTTGCTACTGTGTCAATCTATCTCATTGAGGGTCTTCTCTTTTTTGCTGACCCTCTCCTTACAAAGCCTAATGTCCTTCTCCAGGGACTGGTCACTCCTGAGAACATGTCCAAAGTACATGAGACAAGGTCTCAACATCCTCACTTCTAAGGAGCATTCTGGCTTTACTTCTTCCAAGACAGATTTGGGGGATTCGCTACTAGCATCCCCAAAAGGAACACTGGTTTTAGCCCATTGAAACGGATTTCAAAATTCTGATCACCAGAACTGTACAATAATAAATTTGTGTTGCTTTAAGCCACTAAGTTGGTGGTAACTTGTTAAAGTAGCAGTAGGAAACTAATACAGTGTGTATAAAATGCTGAGCGTAGTACCTCGCACATAGTAAGCCCTCAGTAAAAGATTGTTGTAGTGGCAGTGATGGTTCAACCCCTAAGCATCTCACCTCCTTCCTACAGAAGGAAGGGCCAAGGGCACATCTCAGCTCAGAGCCCTGAGCCTGGAAATGGAATGGGACAATGGTTCTCTGATGCTGCTAATTCAGCAGGGAGCTGAAGTCTATGCCCAGTGTCCCATGGGATGGGGGCAAGACCACAGTGATGCCACTCGTGACCTCCTCAGGACTGCAACTGGCTTGGCCCAGGCTAAGCCTGGTTAGGGTGACTCAGGCCCACCAAATAAAGAACAAGTTTAGGATCCAGGGACATAGAAAAGCCAGGTAGAAGAGTCACTGGAGAAAAGGCCTGTGGCCCGCATAGACTGATCCTGGGGCAGTAACTGACTACACAGAGAGGAGCAGACCCTGGACCGGTGTGGCCTCTGGCCCTTCTCATGCCAGGATTTCCTAATTAACCCACCCTGTCCTCCTGCCTAGATTGGCATCAATGAACGTCTTCCTGAGGCTGCTGTTCTGGGTCATCCTGTACCTGTGGACTTCATGCTCACACACCTGTGAGGAGCACACTAGCACCTCCAGTTCCATGCTCCAACTGGGGTTCATGCATACTGAAAGAGTGTCTATTGGTTGTTCATCTGAAATTCAAAGTTAACTGGATGTTCTATATTATTTGCTATATATCAAACAACCTGGAGTGGAATGAGGGTCAAGACTGCCTTCCTGTTCCTCCCTCTTAGTCAGCAGGCACTTGGAGGGACTCTGCAGAGTGAGAGTCAGGGGTAGGGATCAGGGAGAGTGGTGGCATTTCCCAACTTTCATCAGCTTGCGGCCCCACCTCACTGTGCTCAAGTCCTCGACCCACTGCCCTCCTTCAAGGGCGGTGACACCCTGTGTCTGGAGAAGTTGTGGCTGTCCTGGTGGGTGGGGGCAACCCATCCCTTGGCCAAAAGGGTTGTACCGGAGTGGCACCAACCTCCAACTCCTGCTACTAATTATGAGGACAGGTCACAGCTGCAGCCACTCAGGTCCCTTCATTCCCCGCCCCCAGTCATTGATGTTATTGTGAGCTCCCACCTTTCTGGCACTTCTGCCCCCAACACTCTCCTCCCAGATCAGGGAAAAGAGCACAGATTCTCAATCTCGAAACCCTGATCCCAGCCCTGCCTCTGTCTCTGAGCTACTTGCCTTGTGGAAGCCACATCCCCTCCTGAGCTTTGAGTCCCCATCCAGTGCAAAGACAGGGCTAAGGGACGACTGGATTCTGGCTCTAACCTCCTCAC